TTATATATATATATATATATATATATATAAGAAAAACAAAAAAAATGTTGTTAACGTACAAAAGCATATATATAATTCATGTATAGAGTCATACATTATCTGGGCGACTTTGGCTTGCGACTTAAGTGGCCTAAAAAATCATCCGCTTCTATTTAATATAAAATCACATGTGATTTTGTATAGTAACGATCTTTTTTTTGTTTTTTTAAATAGTTAGTGTTCTCGTTTGATTCTTCCTCTCTCTGTATGTATATATACACACACGTATCCATATATGTACGTGCAGCTGATCGATGTTAATTATTGTACATGAAGTAATGACCGACGAAGGTCGTAGGCTTGCATGATACATTGATGATTTTGAAGGCATTATGTCGTTTGTAAGGAATAATTATTGCTTAGAGAGAAATTAATTGGATGAAGTCTATTTATCACGAAAAAGAGAACACACATATAATTGACGTTATATATATGCCAAAAACAGTTAAAAACCAGACTACACATGCGTTCTTTAAGATATTATTCATAAATAGCTTGAATGTTACTTTTTCAGTAGCATATAAATATCATATGACGGATGTTTATTGTAGTCGTCAATGGAGCTTCTTGAATCATGGCTTGGAAAGAACTCAGATGTTACTGGATTTAAAGAAGATGGAGGTTCCATCTTTAAAGAACTGGCTCTTTTTCAAGACTATCGTGGCTTGCCGACTCTCAAGAACGTACGACTCTCTCCTTTTCCATACCCTTAATTATTTTTATTTCGGTTTCGTATACAACTACTGGATAAAAGTTTTTAATGTGTGTGTGTGTGTGTGCGCATATGGCGTTTTACTTCTTTTTCAGGAATTAGCAGAATTCATGGAAGAAATCAGAGGGAAGAGAGTAAGAATGGACCCAAACAAGATCGTTCTTACAGCTGGTTCAACTTCTGCTAATGAAACCCTGATGTTTTGCCTTGCTGAACCTGGTGATGCTTTCCTCATCCCCACACCTTATTATCCAGGGTAATAATATTCACACTGTTAACTTTCCTTGTAGAAGTTTGTAATATTTACAACAGATACATACACACGTTATTTATCTTTGGTGAGGTTTGGCTGAGCTAATGATCATTTGGTGATATTCACCCCTATGATCGAGCCTCTTTAACCAAATGGTTGTGGCTTTGAGATTAATGTGGTTTCTTTGCAGGTACGACAGAGATTTGAAGTGGCGAACCGGGGTTGAAATTGTACCCATCCAATGCACAAGCTCAAATCATTTTAGGATCACCAAGTTTGCTTTGGAAGAAGCATACAAACAAGCCCAAAAGCTTAATCTAAACGTCAAAGGGGTTTTGGTCACAAACCCTTCAAACCCTTTGGGCACAACCATGAGTAAAGAAGAAGTTGATATTGTTATCAACTTCTGCATGACCAAATTGATCCATATAGTGAGCGACGAAATATTTTCAGCAACAGTTTTTAGTTCTCCAAAGTTTGTAAGCATATTGGAAGCATTGAATGAAGGGAACCTCCAAGAATCAATTGCTATGAATCTTGTTCATGTTGTTTATAGCCTCTCGAAAGATTTAGGACTCTCAGGATTCAGAGTAGGTTTGATTTATTCAAACAACGAAATGGTCATTTCTGCAGCCACCAAAATGTCGAGTTTTGGGCTCATTTCGTCTCAAACTCAACACCTCGTTTCAAACATTCTTCATGACAAGAAGTTCATAAAATATTACATGAAAGAAAATGCAAGACGACTCAAAAAGAGACATGAAATGCTCGTTTCGAAGTTAAAGAGGATAGGGATTCAATGCTTGAGAAGCAATGCTGGATTGTTTTGTTGGGTCGATATGAGGCATTTGTTAAGTTCCAACACATTTGAGGCTGAGTTTGATTTATGGAAAAAAATTCTTTGTGATGTTAAGTTGAACATCTCTCCGGGATCTTCTTGTCATTGTAGCGAACCAGGGTGGTTCCGAATTTGTTTTGCGAATGTATCCGAGGAAACGTTGCAAGTTTTGATGCAAAGGATGAAGACCTTCGTTGGAGGGATCGGTCACCGGAACTTGATTTGTTTTTCAAGGAAGCCTATGCTTTTAAAGTGGGCGTTCGGGTTATCATCGTTCGATCGTCAGGCAGATCGTTAGACATATTTATAAGTAACAAGTAAATTCCATCATTCATGGTTCTTAATTATAATATGTAATAATATTTGTTTTCTTTTTGTACTTTGGCAAGAAAAATGATTTGTTGCAAGGAACGTTAATTAGACTTTGTTATATAATTTTGGTTATGTCTTTTTAATATATTAGCGTTGCGCATATCTTTGTTTCATTTCTCGTTCTTCATTTGAAATATTCTTTCTATCTACTATGTATTCGTATTCAGACAAGACGTGAATCCTTGGCTCCATAATTGTTCTTAATCTATCTTCATACTTTATATTACCAACATCAACTTATGGAGTCCGGATTTATCTATAAGTAAATCATCAAAATACCAAAATATACATGAGATATTAACGAAACAACCAACTTTTACGAAATAACCATCTTTGACCAAAAAAGTATATTAAAAAATTAATTTGGTGGGTCCCACATACATCACATTTAGGAAACCAAACATTATTTGTCTCGATTTGGGTGAATCTACCCCGGGGGACGATCCACGTCACCCAATCGCCCCTCGGGGGCGATCCATTTTTTTTCCATTTTTGTTTAATATCGATTAAAAGGTGTTTTTAATAAATGAGAGACGATATTTAAACTTTTTTTTTCCTTTTTAAGACCAAATGTCATGATTTTAGTCTATAAAATAAAACATTTTTACTTTATAAAATAAAATACTTTTACTCTCACAACCCGTAACGAAATGTTGATATTCTATAATAATTGTGAAGACGAAAAAAATTATTTGTATGAAACAACCCTCACATTCCCAATACATATAGTTCACATCATCATACTTATAACACTAAAATAGTATTATTACAAAACATAAACTATCAAAATGTATCTTTAATACATATACAAACAAACTAATATCATCATTCAGACTTTCCCCTTGCCTTTATCTTTTAACGTACGCTGACCTGCAAAACAGGTTAGTCCAACATCTGAGCGTTAGACCCAAAGGTCTAGTGAGTGTATAATCTCATACAAACAATATATATTCCAAACAATCAGTTCTAAATTCAAACCTGTTCTGAAACATAATATTTTTATGTTTCTTACGCCATTACAATCTCTTATCTCTTTCTCACTCGCGGTTACACCGCCATTATATCTCTCTCGCGGTTACACCGCCTTTTCACTCGTAGTTACACTGCCATTATATCACTCTCGCGGTTACACCGCCATCTCACTCGCAGTTACACTGCCATTATATCACTCTCGCGGTTACACCGCCATTACATCA